CCCAGCCAATAACGCAACGCCGGCTAGTTCCTCAGATACAGCCTAGAAATCCATCCCGCCCGCAGTCGCCGCAACCAGCGTCTCAGAATGAGGCGGCTTCTCCCCGCCACCGCCACCACCAGGGGATAAAGGACGAAACCCCGATCCGCCTCCCGCCGTCGCCCCCGCCGCCACGAGTCAGCGGGGGGCCGAGGGGGTCCGGGCCCTGCTCCCCGGGTGTCGGGACAGGCTCCCTCCGCCCTCCGCGTGTTCAGACCCCCGAGGCCCGGGGACGCGGTCACCCCGAGGGCCCGCACGGCGGCCGGGCGAGAGCAGAAGGCTCCCTTGGGGCAGGCTGCGCGCCTCCCCACGAGAGACAGGCAGGCCCGTTCTGAGGAAAACCCAGGCAGCGCTGCCTGGGCTCCGAGTCCCGGGAGAAAAGGAAACCGGTATCTGCGAGCACACACAGCGCAGCCTGTTAGAGAGGGGAGGCCCCAAACCTCTCTCCTCATCACCGCGCTGCCACTCCCGAGCCTGAGCGCCGACTCGGCCGCTCTCCCCGTTCTCTTCAGTTCCCTCAACAGCGCTCTCGCGCCCCAATTCTCGCCTCCCGCCCCTCCACTCCCAGCACCCAATCACCCGCCAGAGCAGAAACCAAGCAACCAATCCCGGCGCGAGGTCAGGCAGCGAGACGCGATGGAAGCCTCCACAACAAGAAGAGACCCGAGGTTCTTGGCGGCTCCGGAAGGCGAACGCCTGAGGAGTGAACGAGTCGAGTAAACCGCAGAATTTAAAGGAAAAGAGTCTTCTCCGTTTGACTTTTTGAAACCGGTGGTTTAACCCGTGCATCCGTTTCCTTGGATACTCGAAGTCTCATTCTTCAGGTTTGTAGACCAACGGAGAGGAAACACTTTTAAGGTTTGCCGGGTTCTTCTCTGAGCGTCCGTCAGTGCCGCTCAATTCAAATCTCCGAACTTTACAGCGGCCAGGGTGTCGCAAACACGGAGGCGGGAATTGCCAGACCACTGGGCCCAACTAGGCGAGAAGGCTGGTTGACGACTGGCCACAGCATTTCAGGATGTTCGAGGCTCCCCGGATACCGAGTTCCACCAGAGAAACGCTCTCGAGCGCTCCCGCCCCGGTCACTTCTACCTCCGTTAAGGCTCATCCGCCTTCTGTCCCTCCCAAAACCAGGATATTCTTCTTTGCCAAGAAGTACACTTCAGCTTCCTCAAAGGTAGGTAGTTGATCATGATCTCGCCAAATTGTGATTTTAAAAAAATTCTGAATAGCCTAAGCTTGGCTCATATACTAGTGTCTCAAA